GGAATAAAGTAAAATTGCTTTTTCATATTGACTTTTTGTTTGTAAACTAAAATTATATTAGAAAAAGTTTTAAACTTTATATTTTAGAAAAAAAAGTAACTCAAAAAAGAGCAAGTCGTTTCTTATATACAGAGTGAGTCAAAAATAGTAACTAAACAAAAAGTAAACAAGTTTTTTGATCATCCTGTATAATTGATAGTTTCTGTGAGATTTAAATTCACACAGAGTGAGTAAAATAGTGACAATAACATAATTTTTTGATTTGTTTTCTACTTTTTTTTATAATCTTGTATAGTTGTAAAAATTGCAAAAAACAGTTTTAGTTTCATGAAATTAAAAAGTTTTGACCTGTTTTTACTAAAAACTGAAATTTTGGTACATCACAAAAAATGTGAGTGAAAAAAGTAGCAGAAAAACCATTTTTAATAACCAATATGCTAAAAACCTGACAAAAAATCCAACAATGATTTCAGTTCAAATATTTGCCCGGTTTTTCCCGCAATAAATAATAGAAAAAACACTCAAATGAAAAATTCTCGTTATATTGACGAGTTTTGCGGTTTTGTATTTTTCGTCGTATCGCCTTATCTTAACTAATAGCCCATTTCCGCCTTAAACCGAGTCATTCATAAATCGATTTCCCTTGTTATTTTATTGGAGGGTAGCTATCCGGTGTCACCCTTAATAGCATCAGGTGGTTTATCGTGGGAATTTTGGCGCCTAAACCCTCTCTTATCGTTACTAATTCTCAACAAGAACTGTTGATTCAGAGTCAACAAATTGAGCAAAGTTATGCAAGAAGTACTCGGAATTGTCACTTGATTGATTGTGCAATTTAACGAGCAAATTAAAATTTTATTAGTCGGTGATAAAAACAAATGTTTTAATTAACACGGAAATATCTGCGAAAATGGCCCATTTGGGAGCGAGAAATGGGAAAAATTTGAAAACAAAGAGAAAGTTTCGTGTTTTCGGAAAAACTCTTTCATTGTTCGGAACCTTAACATCTCGGAAGTGTTAATGAAGCGGAAAGAAATGATGTTGGTTGTAAAAGTTAGCATCTCACTGAAAGCATCCACTTGAAAAACACAAGATACGTTGTTTGCTGGAGGAATTAACCCAACAATGCGATTGTGTTACATGAGTTTTTTCATGTTTATTACTTTATTGTTGCCTTAATCATATTTGATTTGTTTTGAGATTGGATATTATCCAGAAATGTGGAATTTAGTGATTTTATAAGAATTACTTTGAATTTATACAAACTAACAAAAAACATGTTTTCATGTCTAATTTTAAAATTGCTGTTTTGTTTTGGCAAAGTGTTCTAAATTTAATGAGATAGTTTTTGAACAAAAAGTGCTCTAAGCTTTTCAAAATAAGCACAATTTTGTCATTCTAGATATAATTTTTACAATTTTCTACTTTGTTTCGGCAAAATTAATCAGATTTTGTGAATTATTCGTTGATTAATAAATAATTTATCATTTTCCTAGTTGATTTTCGCATTTTAATTTACTGAGTTTTTTTTAAACATTTCTAAATAATGTTTAATTTAGTTTTTTCAATTTTCTGCTAAATTCTCCAAAATGATTTAAATTTCTTTGTAAAAAAAACACTCCTCAATTTATAAAAACCGCATTTTGCAATTAAAATTAAAAAAAAATTCAAATTTAGTTATTTTATTAGAATTACYTTGAGTTTATAAAAACAAACAAAAAACATATTTTTAGGCTAATTTTAAAATTAGTGTCTTGTTATGGCTAAGTGTTTCAAATTTATTGATTTTTGAACAAAAACTGTTTTAAACTCTTCAAAATAAGCACAATTTTGTCATTTTAGATATAATTTTTGCAATTTTCTACTTTGTTTTGAGAAAATCGCTACAATTTTGATCGTTTTTTGTTGAAAAACACTTCAAGACTTACAGAAATTAACAAATTGTTAACCAAATA